TATATGTCTGCAAGACAGATCAAATGTTCTAGAAATAAAATCTGAATTAGAACCTAATACAATGTGCAGAAAACAACATAACTGTGCTATATCTATATACAGTATATTTGACATACAAAAAGCGGTTTCTCTCTTGCATACATAGGGCCATCAAGATATCTATTTTTTGTTGTATGATGTAATTCACCAAAATAGATTTTGATAAACAATATTAATGTCATTTTAAGACAATTTTATGCCACTTATTATATAATTCTAGAATGACAATATAATATCATCATAATGCAAGTTCCAAAGAACACATCAGATTTTTATCCTTAAGAATATTTTATTTAATTATAGTGATTTTAACAGTTTAATAATTAGGCATCGAAATCAGAATGTGAAAATGTATATCCAAGGTAAAATGTAAGAGGCTGCAATATCTGCTACCAGATCTATTTTCCGTTGTCAGACACCCAAATGACAATAAATAAAACAAATAAGACTTTCTCCAGAAGAAAAAAATATTTTCAGACATACTGTGAAATCTTCCTTGCTCTGTTAAAAATCATTTGGGAATTATTAAAAAAAGAAAAGAAAAAAATTCAAAGGGGGAGCTAATAATTCTGACGCAAACTGTATACACATTCAAAAACATATACAATTCGTAGTTGAATTTTGCCTGCAGCTATATACAGTATATAGTTGAAGACAAAATTCTGAAACTTTATTATTTGTTAATTTTTTATTACTACATTTTTTTCTTTGCCATGATGACAGTACATAATATTTTACTAGTCATTTTGCAAGATACTAGTATTCAGATAAAAGTGCATGCTCCTCAAGCACCAGACAGTGCAATTGGTATTGAAGATAAACTAGTAAAAATTTGAAGTGGATCAAAAGTTTTTATGAACATAACAAATCAAATATGGTTCCATATTCATATTTATCAATCTTACCGCAGCAGCTGAAATTCCAGCAGTCTGTGCTGCAATAGGAGTGGATTTCTTCACATTTTTGAAGCCCTCTGTACCACACGACGTTCTGACCATGTACTGACCCGCACAATCTGTGACTTGGATATGAGTGCTAAAGCAAGAAATTAAAAACAGTTGAGTGATTCCAGCGTTATGGATGTGACATTTGCAGTAAAAACGTAAAGCTTAAATTCACAGAGCAAGTATATATTAACATTATATTGAAACATCTGCTTATATTTTCCAAAACTATTAAGCTCAGAGTTGTGGAATTAGAAAAAATATCAATCTGTAAACATTTTTTGGGTTTTAAATAAGGAAAATAAACATGCGTTATGGATGTGACCAAAAAAGGTTTGCGAGTTTACAGTATACAACATACTTCATGGAAATTCTGTGAATTAAAGTGCACAACCCAAAAGAAAGAATGCTAATCAAAAGGATAAATAGACTGGAGAATAGGATAAATGACTGACTTTTTTTTTTTTTTTTTTTTTTTTAAATGTATGCATTGGTTATGGATGTGACCAGTGGTGGAAAGAGTACTAAAAAAGCATACTTAAGTAAAAGTACCATTACTTGCCTAAAAATGTAGTGCGAGTAAAATTATCTGCTGTAAATATTACTCAAAGTATGAGTAATAAGCCCTTTTAAGAGTACTCAAGAGTAGTGAATATTATGCTGTTAAAAGTTGATGCATTTACATGTAATTTGTGGATATGTGTAAACGTAACTTTGTGTAGTGCATTTAGTTATTGTCCAGCAGGCACACGTTATAAGACAAGAATATTAGGTTAGATTTAGGTTGGGATGTCAGGTGACCAAAATTTTATGTCTAGCCAGCGTCTACAGACAATGTTATTTTGATGTCCAATATTGACATTAAATGATGTTGATATTTGGTCAACTTTAGGTTGCTAGAAAGTGACCAAAATCCAATGTCAAGGCAACATCTTAAACCAATATCCTATTGACATCAAATACTGATATTTATTCATCAGTTATGGCAACCAAAATCCATCGTCTGATAGACGTCATAGTGGTAACGTCCACACAATGTCAAGCTGTAACATTATTTGACGTTGATTTTTGGTTGTTTTTTTTGACCATGTACTGACCCACACAATCTGTGACTTGGATATGAGTGCTAAAGCAAGAAATTAAAAACAGTTGAGTGATTCCATCATTATGGATGTGACATTTGCTGTTAAAACAGCTTAACTATAGCTTAAATTCACAGAGCAAGCATATGTTAACGTTATATTGAAACATCTGCTTATATTTTCTATTTAACCCAAATCCAACGTCTGATAGACGTCATAGTGGTAACGTCCACACAATGTCAAGCTGTAACATCATTTGACGTTGATATTTGGCTGGTTTTAGGTTGGACTTTAACGTCAGTCTGACGTTGAGTTCTGATGTCAACCCGATTTTCATTTCCAAACAAAATGCAGCGTCCCCATGACGTTAGGGTAGAGTGTTAACGTCTTGTGCCTGCTGGGTGTTCTAGGCTATTTCGGTCATCATACAGTTAACATCCGTCATCATCTCATTGGTGACATGCATCTAAACAATCTCTGGGTCAACGCGTGTAAAGATTTTGAACATCTTCTTGGACATCTTCTTGGACATTAAACAGCAGTAAATTAAAATTTCTGAGAAAAAAATACTCAATTACAGTAATTTGGGTATTTGTAATTACTTTACACCACTGGATGTGACAGATGTGAAATTGCCACTTGTGTGACGTAAATAAAATACAATTGTTTGAAAACATTAATAGAGACGTTTCTGAGTATTTTACAGTACCATAACATGCAAGCCTACACAAAAAAACTTAAAAAGGGTTTCGCTATAAAGGTTGACATTTGCATGGAATTGCTCAGTTTAGGTAAAGAGATCAGGTAAAAACTATGAAATCTGTTCAGTTTTACATGATTGTAGACCTTTTGATTGAGATATTTGCATTACTTTATAATTAACAATTGCAGTGTTTGAAAAAAACAATATTAATGCATGAGTTTTGTCCAGCAGATGTCCCTATTGCATGGGGTGTCCTGAAGTGAATTTAAAACAGTGAATCATTTTGTAAAACAATTGGTTCAGTTGTTTCAAAGGTCTTATTAAACAAGCATCGTAAAAGCACACAGAAACTAAACTATGATGCATCTCAGAACTAATTAAACTTGATTATAAAGTTTATTATCTTTTGTAAGACAACTTACTTGTTATATGTGGCTTTTACATGTGCGATTGGTAACTCTTCAAACTTCTTGCTGTCCCACCTCAGGGGGCTGTCTTCACCCGGAAATGGAGGGAAGAGACTAAATTGAGAAAGAGCAAGAAACAATTATTACAATTTTACCATGAAATCTAACCGATTCATTCATTCATTTATTCATTCATTCATAGATAGATAGATAGACAGACAGACAGACAGACAGACAGACAGACAGACAGACAGACAGACAGACAGACAGACAGACAGATAGATAAAGTTTTAGTTTAGTTTTCTAAACTTCTTAAAAACCAGAAAACTAAACTACACTAAATCTAAATAAATAAAACAAATACACAGGTGACAGTAAAGGCAAGTATAACGTCAAATAATAATCAACATAAAGGTTTGAGAGCACCATAGTTAAAGCTATATTTGAAAAAAAAAATTGTGTGTTGTTGACATGTCTGTCAGTGTTTCTGTGTAAATCATACTCTTTTAGTCTTCTGACTGGTTCTGATGGACTTTGGGTTTCCACTGGTTTGGCATCAGACTCCTGTAATCGGACTGCACTGCATAACAGCGGACGCTGTACCTCCACATTTCCAACACTGCAGGAGACAACAAACTAATTAGATTCATCAATAATAATAATAATAATTACAATAATAATAATAACAACAATAATAGGGCGACATGTAGGCTCAGTGTTTAGCACTGTTGCCTCACAGCAAGAAGGTCACTGGTTCGAGTCCCGGATGGTTCAGTTGGTATTTTTGTGTGGAGTTTGCATGTTCTCCCCGTGCTTCCGTGCTTCACTTTCCCCCACAGTCCTAAAACATGCGGTTTAGTTGAATTGATTAATATAAATTGGCCGTAGTGTGCGTGTTAATGAGTGTGTACGGATGTTTCCTGCAGCTGGAAGGGCATCCGCTGTGTAAAACATATGCTGGATAAGTTGTCGGTTCAATCCGCTGTGGCGACCCCAGATTAATAAAGCGACTAACGTTAAACCGAATAAATATGAATAAAGCGAATATGACTTGGTTTCTAAACAATTCCAAACATAAAAACTGTATTATATTGTGTTTTTTATATAGTTTTAAGGACTTCATTAATGTTGTAAAATGTAAAAAACAGCATTAATTAGAATAAATAGGTGTGTCCAAACCAAACAAAGATACATAAGACCAAAGTAACAGCACTTCTAAAAATAATAGGGTATTACCATGATACGATTTCCTAAATGTTTATAGTAAATTGATACCAACAAAACAAACAAAACATTGTAATATTATGACAGCATTGACAGTCACTAACGTTATATGCATTATGTAAATTAAAGTGTCACCACGTAAACACATTAACAGAGTATCGTTACTGCTATTAAACCCAAATACGCCACTTACATTAGCCGTCCATGCGAATTTAAGCTTTTAAAAAGCTGCTGACATGAACCTCGAACGAGGCTGTATAACGTAGAATACATAATGTGTTTTAAATGCAGTTCATTCGCAAAAATAAAAACGCATGACTTTTGGCTGATTTGCGGACATTGAGGGTCGCGCAGTATGTGTGTAATGAGAACGTCCAAATCGTAACAAACATTCAGAGGGGTGTTTACTTTTATTATACACTCCAACGTATCAGATTTTACATTAACTTGACAACACATAAAAAATACATATTCTCTATTACATACATTAATAATTTAACTTTAGATTTCATTAACTGTTCTTTGAAAAATCTCTAAACAGTTTTATTTAAAAGTCATTTCCCCCTATTTTCGAAATGGTCGCGTCGATTTCGTGAACTGCGCAATGCACTGCGGGAGCACGTGTGGTCAACATGGCTGCGCCCTTCGCTAGAGTTTATCAACCTTTATGGAGGAAAATAACTACAGCTATATTAAGCAAAGGGGTGAGAAATGTATCGTCCACTAGGCAACAGTGGGCAAAGCTTAATGTTAAAACTGCGGGAGCTGCATCTCCGTGGGCGCTGCATGGAGCTGTGTGTCTGCAGAGACTGCCTGTAGTCTCTCAGGACAGGAGCCCCATAGAGGAGGACTTCATGGAGCTGATGCGTCAGGTCAGACAGAATTCGTAGAGCCATTTATATTGTATTTTTATCGCCTTAGTTTTTATTATTTAAAATGGACAGTACGCGCATCACAATGTTTATGAAAATGGTACAAAGTAACGGCTGTTTATTTGTAGGCTATATAGATTTTTGTACGTTATTTAACGTTAGCTTATTTTAAGGCTGAGTGTGAGGTATAGTTGGTTTTATATTGACACATTCGTTCAATGACAGCTTGTGACATGCTCTCTGTTTTGTTTGCCATGGTTCTTTGAATATTATATATTATATTATATTGTCATTTTCCTCATGGGGACCAAAAATGGTCAAAATGTACTGATATTGCTATACTTGTGGGTATATCTGGTCAGGAACACACACACACACACACACACACACACACACACACACACACACACACACACATACACAAACACACACACATAAAAGAACAAACACGACATATAAAATGTAGGAAAGCAGTACATAAATACTTGTTTAGGTTGTGAGAAGTTGATAAATGTAAGATAACACAGAGTATAATACACTAAAAGTGCTGACAATAACAGCTACTCCTCAAAAATAATAAACTAATAATTATTGAGGCAAAGTTGGTTTTATATTCACACGTTCGTTCAGTGACAACTTGGGACATGCTCTCTATATGGTTTACCATGGTTCTTTGAATATTATATATTATACTATATTGTCATTTTCCTCATGGGGACCAAAATATGGCCAAAATGTACTGATATTGCTATACTTGTGGGTATATCTGGTCAGGAATACACACACACACACACACACACACACACACACACATAAAAGATCAAACACTACATACAAAATGTAGAAAAGCAGTACATAAGCACTTGTTTAGGTTGTGAGAAGTTGATAAATGTAAGATAACACAGAGTATAGTACAATAAATTTGATGACAACAACAACTAAAAAATAATAAACTAATAACTAATAAACTAATAATAAACTAATAATTATTCGCTCAGTGACAACTTGTCACATGCTCTCTATATTGTTAACCATGGTTCTTTGAATATTCGGTCTGAAATCACACGTAAACATGACTTCAAATCAACATTAGCACTATTTATTTGTCTGTGAACGGTGTTGTAATTTGATAGCCATTGGCTGGTAATATGATTTCACTATTCAGAGTTTGCAGATAATATTTTTCTGAATTTAAATTGATAAGGAGAAAGTCTGAATGTGTGAACACAAAACCAACTTTACCTCACTGTATTTTGTTTTTGGTAATTAATTGTGCCATTGATTTAAACAGCTTCTGGTTGGTTTGTTTTACTGTGGAGTTGATCTCAGCTTTAAAAACATTACAAGTAGACATAAAGATTATTATTTTTTGTCAATTAAAAAAAATTACATATAGATCCTCAGTTTCAAAAAAAGGAAATCATAAAAAGATTTTTTTCACTTGTTGGAATAAACCGCCAACTTATCCAGCATATGTTTTACGCAGCGGATGCCCTTCCAGCTGCAACCCATCACTGGAAAACATCCATACACACTTATTCACACACATACACTTTAGACAATTTAGCTTACCCAATTCACCTATAGCAAATGTCTTTGGACTTGTGGGGGAAACCGGAGCACCCGGAGGAAACCACACGCGAACATGCAAACTCCACACAGAAACGCCAACTGACCCAGCGACCTTCTTGCTTTGAGGTGAACGTGCTACCCACTGTGCCACCATGCAGCCCCTTTTAATAAATAATATAATATATTTTTCTTCAATGCTATAGAATTTATGTAATTTTTCTTCTGTTTATAAGCATATAAACTCAAACAACGGATAATTTCTTGTGTCCAAATGATTTAACTTGAAATTTCTTGAGATCCTGCGATATGCCTTGCAGATTCACACATTGCGATATCGATGCTGACACAATATATTGTGCAGCCCTACACCCATGCACACTCATACACTACGGCCAATTTAGTTTATCCAATTTACCTATAGCGCATTTGTTTGGACTGCGGGGGAAACCGAAACACCCGAAAACCCACACAAACACGGAGAGAACATGCAAACTCTATACAGAAATGCCAACTGGCCAGCTGGGACTTGAACCAGCGACCTTCTTGCTTCGGGGCAACAGTGCTAACCATTGATCCACCCTGCCTCCAATTTCCATAACATGCTTTTTCTAATTATTATAGTATGCAATGTAACATTGTTTATGCTGAGTGTCTATTAATATGCTTTCTATCAATTCATTTACGGTTGCTTATTGTTTCAGATCGAGTTTGAGAAAAGTCTGCTAGCGGACCATGAGGTGAAGGTCCTGGAAGATGCTGCTCGAATGAGCCGGAAACAAGATGAAGATTACGATTCGGATGAGGAGGACGATTACAGAAACAAAAAGATTGTTACAGCGCAGGATCTGGAGGATGTTTGGGAACAGAATCTGAAGCAGTTTCAACCAGCTCCGAGATTACAAGGTGAACAATCTACAAGCATTGCTTTTTCTCGATTCGTGACTGGACATGGGATGATAACCGGTTTCAAAGGCTTACTGTGTTTTGGAAAAGTTAAGTTTTTTTTGAGGCAACAGAAAAAGACCCTCCACATCAAAATCTACTGGTCAGCCTACGATTCAGCAAACATTAAAAAAAACAAATTACTTAATAACAAACATCCAAGCATGCTGAACAGAGCAGTGGCTTACTTTATATCCAAAGCAAAGAAATATATCCAAAGAAAATCCATTCAGTTTGTAAAGAAACTAATGAAGACAGCAGAATTTCATGATTTTTTTTTAATTATTCAGCCTGACATGTTCCAAAATACTTTAAATGTTTCTTAAAATAAATGATGTTATGTTCAATGAGGGAAAAAGTTGTTGTTTTTTTGACTCAGACATTTAAAAATAATAAATTTTAGAGCAGTAATCACATTGCTGTAATACTTTTATCCAAGGTTATCATACCATCAGAATCTTATAACGGCCCATGCCTATTCAGGACATTTCAGAATAATTAAAGCTGCTGAATATGCCATGCAGCTCATCTCTCCATCAATCATGTTGCAGGTGACGGTGAGACAGACATGAGCTCCTTAGAGCGTTGTTTAGCAGATAGTCTCGTCCTGCTGGTACAGAAGGATGTTGGCAGTCAAAAGATTTGGCTTCTGCCTCAGATTGAGTGGCAGACGGGAGAAACACTTCGACAGACGGCCGAACGTGCCCTTGCGAGTCTTCCAGGTAATATTTCTATTGTAATATTGAAGTCATTTGCTTCAGGTTGTTTGTTTTATGGTGAAGCTGAAAAAAATATTTAGTCACTAAAAGCGTTGCCAGATTGAGTTACTGATTTCCAGCCCAAAAGCTCTCCACTCAAAAACGTTCACTACCAAAAAAAAAATGTATGTGATGTTGATCTATGTTCACGTATTTCCTTGAAAACACAGATACATTGTTGTGTTATCCGCAGAAATAAAACTGCAGATAATAAAGGCTGCTTTTGAACGTGTGTATTTGTGTCTTAAAACAGCATTTTAGACTGGAAACACTTTTTGTTAAGTCTGCCATTTGACTGAGTTTGAAAAAAAAAAAAACTATAGCTATTGAAAAACTATCTCAGTTTACACTATACAGTACATCCTACTCCCACATGAACATTTACTCAAAGGAGAAGAACCTGAATGTCCTAAAGAACCCAAAATGTCGGTATTGTAGCAAAAACCAAACTGTTAAAAATTCTTGTAGAATGCCCTATTTATAATGTTATCAGACAACAATTTTTGTCTGGAGAGACTTTAAATGAAATATTTAGAAATGTGAATTGTACAATTTTTATCAAAAGTAAACCTTAAAAAACTGTTTTATAGTTTTATCTTATATATTATTATTATTTTAATTGTTAGAATATTTTTTAAAATACTTTTAAAAGTGGTATTTATAAAATGTATAAGTGTTTTTATGTAGGCAATTTTTGTTTTTATATAGGCAATTTTTTGGGTTGACAGTGAAATGGTCATATTGCACATGCTCATGTAACCACCATAACAGACAAAATTGTGTCCAAAATATGAACATAAATACTAAATATAGCTGCAAGCAGCAATTATCGGTGGCAAGCAGCCTAGCGGCCACATGATAAACAAGCATGGCAACAAGCTGCAGAGCAGCTGAAGAATTCTATAAATTTGGTCTGAGCCAAATTTGGTGGCAATTGGACTAACAATATATTAGTCCAATTCAAAACAACAGATTTTTAAACTAATTCAAGATGGTGGACAGAAAGTTGTGTTAATTAGGGAATAAATTATATCAATGTTCTTGGCAAGATCCAAGAAATCTAACAAGACATGTCTCGTGACATTAGACGAAACTATTCAACAATCAAAAATTCTAAAACTTTTGTATGATTTCTATTGATAGAATTGACTTGTTTGTCAATTTTACCCAGAAGGTGGCGCAAACTGATGTGGTTCGGTCAATTTCAGGCCTAGATCACACACTTTAAGTTCTTTTTACTTTATTTATATATATATATATATATTTTTGTAATTTAACAAGCTTTGACATTTTATGTCATTTTGGCATAGGGATTATTTAAATATGTTAATAAGTTCAAAATCTGATCACCTACAATGTTAAAAAGCTATTACTGCTGTTGTTGTTAATTGGCTTTTTTATTTAATGATTGTTAATTATTTTTTGTCTTGTCACCTAAAAACATTTCAACATACAGTCTGATTACTAAAAAACCCAATTTGGCAACATGGATAGAAAAAAAAAGATATTTATCAACAAACACATTCTGGTTAGAGAAAAGCTCAGTATGGCTTGTAAAATAAATAAATAAATTCATTCTTTTTCTTTCTGCTTATTCCCTTATTCATCACGGGTTGCCACAGTGGAATGAACCACCAACTATTCCAGCATTTGTTTTAAGCAGCAGATGCCGTTCCAGCTGTAACCCAGTACTGGGAACAATCCATACACTCTCACATACACTATGGCCAATTTAGTTCATCCAATTCACCTGTCTTTGGACTTTTGGGGAAACCGGAGCACCCGAAAGAAACCAACGCAAACACGGGTAGAACATGCAAACGCTACACATAAATGCCAACTAATACAGCCAGGATTCGAACCAGCGACCTTCTTGCTGTGAGGCGTTTGTGCCAACCAATGAGCAGATAAATAGAAAAACCCAATTTGGCAACATTGATCTCAAACAGGCCAAAAAAGTATGCAGATTTTGAACAAACACATTTTGGGTATAGAAAAGCTTAGTATGGTTTATAAAAAAATAAATAAATAAATTGGGACAAAGTTTTCATGATAAAAAAAACGTTTAGCCTAAAAGTGATAACATGTAGGGCTGTGTGATTAATTGAAATTGAATCGCAGTCGTTATTTGGCAATTAGCCATCCTGAGCAAATCGTCACCTTGGAATTATAAGGTTCTATCTGCGTTCTGAATGATTTTGAGGTATTGAGCTTTAAAGATTTTTCATTTCATATCAAACAGTATGTGTGTAACATTTGCTTTTTAAATAAAAAGTCTTGAAAATGTAAACAACTTATAAAAAACATCCCATAATGTAAATACGTTTTCTTGTAATAAGAATATGTCAATAACTAAGTTTTGACAAAAATGTCAGATAGAAGCTCACTCAATTGAGTGAGCACACTTTTGTTCTGCTCAATCAGAATTGCGCAACCGAACTATGTGGAAAGCCCACAATTAAACAAACCGGACAGCGCGGACAAGTGGGATGATGGTGTCTGCCGCTTCAGAAGCATTAATAGACTAATTCATATCAAAGAAAAACAGCATGTCGGTAATATGGAAATATTTTGGTTTCAAAGTCACAAACACCGAACAAAAACAGATCACTTGTAAGAGCTGTCGCAGAATTGTTGCCACAAATCAAGGAAATACAACAACCAGCACCTAAAAACGCACAACAGGCCAGTGAAACTCAATCTAGTAGCGAGTAGCAGCAAAGTACAATTTGTTGTAAAATTGTAGCAAAGTACAATTTGTTTGCAGCTGTTTACACCATATAAAAAAAACATCATGAAGGCAACAGAAGATGACTAACGCCATAACTCACTACTGTTTGCTCTAGAGAAAAATGAGTGTTTAATTTCTGAGTGTTTATAAACAAATTTGAATGAAAGTTGGAGTTAATATCTTTTCAGTTCGTTTTGTTAATTAACACACACTGCATTTTAGCAGTAAGAAGCTATGATACAGAGTATTGAGCTGAAGCTTGACTACAAAATTAAATCGCAAATCAAATGAAATATCTGTCAAAAATAAATCGCAATTAGATATTTTCACCAAATCGCACAGCCCTAATAACAAGAATGTCGTTCATAAATGATACGTGCTTCAGGTTAAATTATTAACCTCATGTTTAATCCGATTTCTGCAGGTGCTGATCTGAAGGCCACTTTCCTTGGCAATGCACCTTGTGGATTTTACAAGTATAAATACCCAAAAGACGTTCAGAAAGAGGGCCTCGTCGGAGCCAAGGTTTTCTTCTTCAAAGCTGTGATGTCCAGCCAGAAGCACTTGCCCCTAGAGAAGAATACATTTGCCTGGGTGAAAAAAGATGAACTCCAGGAGTTTTTGAAGCCAGAGTACCTAAAACAAGTCAGGCGCTTCATTATGACTTTGTAATATTGCGGGGGAAAAGGACAAAATAAAGAATATGTTGGTGGAAAATGCCTACTTTTGGATCAGAGGATGACAACAAATAGTATAAATGATGTTCAGATGTCTTTTATAACAATTCGGTGTGTTTATTAATAATGCTCTTATCTGTTTTTGCCCGACACTTAAGTTGCAATTTGTCATGTAAATGTATTAAAATTAATAATGTTTTTCACTTATACCATGTTATTTTTGCTAAACGTGGCATGAAATATTGAAAAAAATGCACTTGTCTCTTGTTCTACCACTTGAGGGCAGTAGAGGGACAAAAAAAAAAGATAAACAGACCTTCCAGGGCCCTTTATAAAAACACAAAGGATATCCAATTATGCTTTTGGCCAGCATATTTCTGTCTTGTCAAATTTAAAGGCCGTGTATTCTGGCTTTCTCATATGCACTTTTATGTCACTCTCTCTTGCTCGGTTGTCAAATAGTCATTGACTTTTGTGCTGTGCTGGTGGAAACGCGGATTAGTGATGCTATGAATTATTTAGGCACCTTGATTATGTAGGTCTCGAAAAATTGGCTGTAGACAGTCATTTCTGCCAGTGTTTTGGGATTTGGAGAAGAAATTACTTTCAGACCTCCTCATAAATAGTGCAGCTGTGGGGTTTTGCGTTGTGTCTTTTTCTTTTAAGAACACACTTGAGAATAGTCCTATTTTGCAAGGATAGGTGACTACACCTAAAACATTGCTCAATTAATTTACCTCAAGCATATGAAATATAACTGGACTTTATTTAGTTATTTGTGTGTGTGTGTGAAAAATTGAGTCATGGTCTTCACAACACAAGTGTACACTACCTTAGCTCTACACTCAATAATAATAATAAAAAATTATTAATTAATTAAAAAATAAATATATTTTTTAAATAGTTTAATTAGCTTTGCTTTTTGTCATTTATCAATTCAATTCATGTTTATTTCTATAGCTCTTTTACAGTGTAGATTGTGTCAAAGCAGCTTAACATAGAAGTTCTAGTAGATTGAAACTGTCAGTCCATTTTTCAGAGATGAAGTTCAGTTTATTGGGGATTAATTTCACTGCTAAAGGTTTGAACACTGAAGAGCAAATCCATCGATGCGCAGCTCCACAAGAGCCAAACCAAGCAAGCCAGTGGCGAGGAACAAGAATTATTTACTCATGTCAAAGTGAAAAAATGCTTATATATGTTAAAAAAAACAATTGCATAAGTTTTTACCCCCATCAGCATTTACAGGGTGTTTGCAGGGTCTTAAATAAAAACCAAAAAAAACCCCCCAAAAAACTAAATTTTAGGCCATAAAAAGTCTTAAATTCACTGAAAATATCGTGTTGTACGTCTTCAATCATTTTAAACAGGTATCCATTTTGCTTTGTCCTAGTATAGCTCACTTAACTCAATTGGGCTGACATCATCCTATGACTAACAGTTAGGGCTGGGTGATTAATTAAAAGTAATCAAAATCGACATTCAGAATCTGTCCAATTTTTTCAATTACTTTTCCTAACTGTGTTGCAGGCCCAGCCCTAACCAATTTGGCACCCTAGGCAAGATTTCAGGTGGCGCCCCATCACATTGCAATAAATTCCACTGCTAGTGTATAGTCATAAGAAACTAAATGGCTTTTTGATCGACTACTACAAGCTGGGAAAACATTAGATAAATATGCCAATGCAATTAACGTTATTGCTAAATAGATCTAATTTTTTAGTGGAAGGACTGATGGGGGTAGTTACATTACTATTACTATTTTCCAAAACATCTATGGCCTTCCACAAACATTGGCTAAGGTTAAAACTAACAGATAGCACTATAGCTATTTATTGATTAGCAATCTGTCAACGTTGGGATGTAAAAAATATCGGACAACAAAAAGCTTCAAATGAAAGAATTCATAGCAAACATTACAAAATATTGACAAAAAAATAAAAGGTTAAGCCTATTAAAATTATATATATATATATATATATATATATATATATATATATATATATATATATATAAAATCTCGGCTTAAACTGAGCAGCAGTGGTCGTTATGTCGAGCGAAAAAAAAAAAAAGAAAGAAAACGACAGCTGTGAAACATAACCAGCTTCGTCTATTTGTAGGAAACACACTTTATATCTTTTTATGGCAAAAGGTTTTTGAGTTATTGCCGTCTATCACTAAATGTGTCAGGAATATGTGCCAAAACCAACTTAACTTTCGCAGGTCAGAGTTCACCAAGCTTGAACTTTCTAGCGCAGTGAACTGCAAAACTTGACGCACGACCTTGCGTTTCCAGTTTTACGCATTTGCGTGCATATGATGAAAGTCTATGGGAAGAAAAGTGCAGTGTGACCGCAGCTTAAGACTGAATTATACTTATTATATTATGTTTTATACGTTATATGATATTATACTTCTGCCAACGGGCACTAGTACAGTCTGACGCAGCCTTCGCATACCTGCGCACCTCTCAAATTAATGTACTTACACGTAGTGCAAGCTTTGTAATTGGTTGATTTGGTGGCGGTGACGACAGTGGCGGCACAGAGAGCCGCGTTTTAGGCAATGTGTGTTTTATTTTTAGTTCAGCGTTAGTGTTCAGTAAATAATAATATATTTCAATACAAAATAATAATAGTGTGTTCACTTTAATTATTTTAAAATTAAGTAATGCACCCTTCATTCAAAAATCATTTGTAATATGTGAGCATATTTACTGTACAAAACTTGTGAACTATGAGGGCAAAAAATAAAATTATAAAAATAAAATTATAAAAAATTAACAGTTAAAATGTTCAATTAATCAAGATTTTGATTTTAGGCCAAATCGCCCAGCCCTACCAACAATACTGTCTTATTTTTAAATGTACATTTAGTTTTTGCAAATAGATACAATTGTAATGTAATGTGTATTTATATAGTGCATTTATTGTGTATGGCTATATACCCAAGACGCTTCACAATGATGTGGGATTTTCCACAACACCAACACCACCAGTGTAGAGCATCCACTTGGATGATGCAATGGCAGCCACAGGACAATAGCACCAGTGCGTTCACCCCACAACAGCTATTGTTAGAGTGGACAGTGATGATTCGGAGGCCATGTTAGGTAAAGGCCAATGGAGGTAATTTGGACAGGACACCAGGGTTACACCCCTATTCTTTATGAGGACTACAATGAGATTTTTAATGACCACAGAGAGTCAAGATGTCTCTTCCAAAAGATGGTGCCCACTGACAGTATAATGTCCCCTTTACTTTACTGGGGCATTAGGACTCACACAGACTGCAGGTTGAGCGCCCCCTGCTGGCCTCACTAATACAACTTCCAACAGCAACCTAGTTTTCCCATGTGGTCTGCCATCCAGGTACTGACGAGACTCCACCCAGCTTAGCTTAATGCCGAGTTCAGACTGCATGATTTTCAAAACAGATGTTTTCACACTGCTTGACTATCTGGGCTAGCGTTTCGTCGCTGCTTTGTTTACACTGCAAGATGGATCGGCGACAGGGACATTCACATTGCATGACTTTACTATAGGGAGCATCGCCGACAACTTCGTCCAAACTACGTCTCATAGCCAAAAACACGTCGTTTATCTTTTGTTATTAACTACATAATGAGAAAGAAGCCTTTAATGGGGAAGAAAATGTACATATTTGCTCACCTGGGTTTAAAGGGAATTAGTCATTTCTCCTCAACGTTGATAATAAACTAATTTCTTTCTGTATGAAACGTCAAACAGACACGGTTGTTCCTGAGTCCTGTCAAACCTCCACTAGTTTTTCCTCCATTTCGTGGGTCCAAATAAACCGAAAAAGAGCGCTTTTAACTTCTCCCCCAGCCTCCCGCTGGCCTGCAGCAGGTATACACACACAAGTGAAAGCTGCTCTCTCATTGGCTGTAGGCGATCGCTGATGTTATTTTCAGCCAAAACTCAATTCACACGGCATGATTTGAATCGCCGACAGCTCCAGATATTTAGCATGCCAAATATCTCACAGGCATCGGCAACTCATCGGCGATTCTCTCAGATCGCGTCTTTGATAGTTCATACTGTGTGATTGTCACTCACGTGCACGAGCAGCGATTTGCCTGTGATTTCAGGCATTTGTCGGCGATTTCTCAAAACCTGTTGGCGAGCCAAAATCCGGGCTAAAATCATGCAGTCTGAACTAGGCATAAGTGAGTAACCAGTCTTGGGCTGCAGGGTGATATGGCTGTGAAGCCTCCTTTCCACTGCACATGACAAGCGACAGACCGGAAGTCGTTCATTTCCAATGGAGAGCAGTCCGGGAGCTGCGTTGAGTTCTGATCAACTCCGTGTGCTGATAATTCGGATCCGTTGAATTATTTGAACTCCTGAGACTAGACCTTATGCTACCTGCTGACCGGATATGATGTATTCCAGTGTTGTCCAAGCAGATCCGTGCGCGCAAGATGAGAAATAGGAGTTTATTTGGTTATTTTTTGAATTATAAAAAGTCTATACTAAAAAAAAACTTTTCTGTTTTAAATGCAAGTAAGAAAGTAATAAAAATATATATTTTAATGTTGTCTCCACATTCCCTCCGATATTTTAGCGGTCTATGAGTTTCTAGTATTCATTCATCCATTAAACTATGTAAACGCACAGAGAATAAAGGCTCTTGATTTTGCCCACCTATATTTCGGACACAGTGAGAATCAGCTTCTCCCCCGTGGTGCACAACAACACTGAAAACACTGTGCGGCTGCCACAGGGGGGCGTATTCCGACAGTCGTGTCCAAATGTCGTGTGCAGTGAAAAGGCGGCTTGACAATTAAGGCTGATTTATACTTCTGCGTCAAACACCGGCGTATGCTACGGCGCTGACGCATAGCCCTTCGCCGTGGCCATCGCCGTCACTGACGTTCACCTCTCAAAAATTGTAACTACACGTCGCAACGACGCGTAGCGTAAGCTCTGTGATTGGTCGGCTTGGTAGCGCTGACGAGTCTGGGCGGGACCGAGAGCCGCGTGAATGGCGCGACGCCGCGCGAGCGATTGTTTACAAGTGTGGAGTCCCGTGAAGGAGCTCCGGATGGAAAGTTTTGTTTTGTGTTTACCTAATAGTTAAAGTTGTTGCACGTCCGCCGGTTAGTGATGGGCAAAGCGAGGCTTCGTAAAACACTGAAACTATCGAAGCAAATGTGTCGAAGCTTTGAAACGTTTC